TGAAAACATCTCAATGCAAATTTTCCAATCTGAAGAACAGGAAAAAAATATTTTTTAGTGAAAAATGCATCAGAGACTTGTTGGAAAATACCAAAAGGTATAGTATACATGTAATTGGAATTCCAGAAAGAGGAGAGCAAGGGGATGAGACAAAATAGATATTTGAAGAACTATCTGAAGCATTGATTTGGAAACCTTTCAGATTGGTGAAAGATATAACGTGTACTGATTTAGTAGGCTCAGTATATGCCAAACAGGAGTATGAAGAAAACTTCACCTAGTCATGTTATTGACAAACTGCTATAAACCTAAGATAAGAGAAAATCTTGAAAATGCCAAAGAAAAGCAACATATTACATACAAGGGAACAACAATTTTCATCACTGTGGGTTTTTCATCAGAAACTGTGGTGATTTTAGAAATGGCATCGTTAAAGTGTTGGAAAAAAAAAAAACTTTCAACCTAGAATACTATCTCCTGCAAAATGATCCCTCAGAAATAAAGGTGAAAAAAAGATTTTTTTTAAACTCTAAAAATTTATTGCCAATAGAACTAAACTAAAAAAAAAAAAAATTGCTGATTGTTTCATAGCCTGAAGTGTAATATCAGAAGAAAGCTCCGATCTTTGGGAAGTAGCAAAGAACATCAGAACTGGTACATATCTTGGTAAATATTAAGAAAATCTAGGTCACAATCAGTTTAAAATGCCATCAGGCTAGCAGCTCAAGTAGCGGTCTCTCCTAGCCAGTCACTATGATATCTATAAAGAAACACAAAAATAATAACTTTTAAATACAAGACTGACAAAAAACTGCCAGAATCTGTGAATTTCTAATTGAATCATATTGGAGAAAGAACAAACAATAAATGGCAACTTTCCATTCTCTATCTTGGGAAACAGGATAGATCAAAAAAGGCCAAAAGAAATTTCATATCTCTATCATTACTTGTACCTACGATCTATATCAACTGAAAAAATAGGCACTGCAAATCGATTTCACAGATTCATTATACACTTGAGTGCTCATTTAATGTCACTGATAGGTTCTTGGAAACTGTGGCTTTTAGCAAAATGACATACAACAAAACTAATTTTAGCATGGGCTAATTGATATAAATAAGAATTAAGTCCCTAGAGCATATTTCTGGTCACAAAAAAAATCACCAAACTTCCAAAAAAAGACCCAAAACACTTCTAATATTAAACATTGAAATAAATCTGAGCTATACATTCATTTAAGAAAGAATAATGAAAACAAGAGAGATAATCATTTTCCAACCTGCTTATTTCATTTGAGGGTCCCAGGCGGGACAACCCTGGACAGGACTACATTCCATCACAGGGAGCACTCACACACATACCCACATTCACTCATACTGGGACAGTTTAGAAACACCAGTTAACCTAAATTGTCCATCTTTGAGATGTGGTAGGAAACCGGAGTACACAGAGAAACTCCATGAAGATATTAGGACAATGTGCAAAATCAACACATGGTGTTCCCAACCAGGAATCGATTTTTTTTTCTCATCATCATTACAATGAAACAGTGTTGAATGAGGTAACATTATTTGAGGACCTGCTGTATAGTAAACTAGGAACATTATTCAAAAGACATTTTCAGCATATGAAAAGTGTATGCTTGTGAGAGGACTAGTGACCCACTCTCACTAGGGAAGAAAAGACACACAATGGTTGGGTGCTGTGTTTTTATCACTGGTACCCTGGTTAAATCAACAATGATATGACACACTGTCCTCTCCTCTCTGAAGCTGCTTCATGTCAACTCTCCTTTCAGAGAGAACCGCTTCCAGAAAGAATGATTCCCCCCAAATAGGAGTGTATGTATGGGAAAGAATTCTTTATCTTTGTTACGCAGCCTGTCAGTGAATTCTGCTAAATGGAAAAAAATGGCCACATTTTCAGTTTTGCCCATTTATATGTTTACTAACCAAAGGGCACTAGCTGATGAAATTTATTTTTTTTGTCTACCAGAGCGGCATGCAGGGAAAAATACACATCCTATAATTACTGTTTTGAACATCTATGTCTAATATTCAGAAAAATTATGTTAGAAACCAGGTACATTGGGAGTGATTATTTGTACTACAGGGTAGTCTTTACAAAAGATTTCATGAGAGAGTTTCTTTAAATTAAATAGGGGGTTTATAGATGTAAAAAAAAAAAAAAAAGGCATAAGCATGTCATGAAGTTATATCTCAATTTAAAGCCCAGTATATAAAACATCTTTGCCACTTTGATAGAAGAAAAACACTAGGTTAGTTGGGTGCTCTGTGCCCTCCCTCCCTGTTGGGTTCTGAGACACTTTTGCATAATCCTTAGAACTAGGAGGAGCACAATGTGAAATCAATTAACAAGCAACCTTAAGAGGCAATTTGTCATGTCAAGTAATTGGCTCATAGAGAAATAATACTGTAATGGAAGGATAAGTGATGAATTATCATTGAATTTCACTTAGCTTTATTTTATGTCATTTTTGATTTTATGTCATTTTGTCTACATATTATGCTACTTATTTGTGCCACTTAAGCCCTTTTGGGGACAGAGCCTTAATTCCTAATTATCTGATAATTATAATATGTAAATCCTGTATGTGTAGTAAATATTTCTTTTTTGATAGCATAACATCGTCTTATATTTAAATACTCTGTTGGAATTCAGTGAACTCTATCACTATCTCAGGATCTTTTGTTTGTTGCAAAGTGTCTTTCTTAAGTAGTAATTTTTAAGTAGTAATTTCTGAATGTAGTTTAGCACAGAGCTATTATTGATACCCTATTCAATGGCAGAACTGGTAACAGAATTGAGCTTTCTAAAATTTTCAGTCCTTCTTGCTAGACTGTTTTTAAGGCCTCTATGGATTTCTAGAGATAGCAGGTCATGTTTTGTCCTCAAAAATGTAGACAATAAGGACAGTAAAGCCTTGATATTAGCTTAATATTGGGTCCTTTTCTTTTACTCCCATTTTAAAACCTGTGCAAACTGAAAAGCATAAGATTAGCCTTAATTGGAGTGATAATGAAATAATATGTACTTTTATTGCATATGCCATATACATATACAGTTGGAGAGTTTTTTGGTACAAGATTCTTATTAAGAAAGTTTCAACATCCTTCTCCTTTCCCACTTGTCACTATATTACTATTATTTCCCCATATCCTCTCCTGGTTCTTCTCCCTTACCTAATTATTCTCTTACTATCCCAAGATTCATAAGTGTTACGATAATGAATTCTGAAGGATTTTCTCTGTAGTAAAATTTTTACATAAAGTACATATAGCTAGAAACCATATTCACCGGCTGCAGGTTCAGAAGATGAGATGACTGGTACCTCTAATGAACTGGTAAATTAGAAAACAAGATTTAAAGAATTTTAGTGTACATACAACATTTACCCCTGTTTTGCTTTTAGCTTCTGCTTCTTTCTATTTTATGGGGCAAAGATAAGTTTTTCAAATTGTATTAATGGAGAAGATTTTAATGTTTGAGGATGAAAGGGAAAGAGAATTGGAAAGTTCTCATCTCCTATCTATCCTGCTATATAAACAACATACGTTGAATACTTGTATTAAAGGGAATGACTTTCAGAAGGATGGAAACTAAAGGAAGCACTTGAAAAGCACCATTTCTTGAGTGAGATTCTCTATAAATATGAAAACAAGACGTTACTATGAGGTAACCTATGACATATGTTTAATATATGCCATAGTCTTCTTATCTGCATTGAGATGTGCTTGTGCACAATGCTGTAGGAACTGAGAGCAACGGAAATGTAGGGTAAGAAATCTGATTTCTTTTAGTTAAATTTAATAATATATTTAAGATGTAACTAGATTTATGTGCACCTCTGCATTGACTTTTAAGCATATATAATTTTGTCTTGGAAGACAATGAGGAGTTTAAGGGGGAAGAGAGAGAGATTAATGTCATGACTCATTTTTTTTATATCCTTTTCCCTTGGATAAAGTGCTCAATCTCCTCAGACCAAAAATACTTCTATTCAATATAATATTTTTTTTTTACTGTTCTAAGGGATTATTACCGTGTTTTCAGACTTCAAAAGGATTTTTATTACATTGCTCTTCGTATTTGCAATGAAAATTTTTGACTAGGGGATGGAGAAAGAAATGCCAAATAGACTGGGGGAGTGGGGAGAGGGGTATTCTCCATAGCCAGGACCCTCCCTTGTAAGAATGGTCAGGGTCATATTTTTTAATAAGAAGATAAAGGCAAGGATACTAATATTGCCAATCTGTTCTAGCTTCATTTAAAACATTTTTGCTATTTCCTCACCAGATACAGTCAAGTCAAAATAATTTAGCATTATTTCTTTCAAGTAGGATTTTTAATATTGCAGGGTTATAATTCTGCTAGTGAACGATTCCATCGTTTTCCATCACTAGGCCTATTCTCTAGACAGAATTCTTGTCTTTTTCAGATAGACATCTTGTGTTGAAAAAGTAATGAGTGATGCTTGAAATATACTTTTCCCTTATCTAAATTATATTAACCACTTTTGTTTACTTACTTGATCCTTTCAATTCTGTGTGATGGGTAAGGTAAATATTTTAAATCGTGCATTTGAAGCTGAGAGAAGACAAGGATTTGCTGTAGATTTATAGATATAGTTAATATGTCAAAGGAAAAATTAGAATACCTTTAAATATTCTTAGATGCGAACACAGGAAACCTCAGCATTATACAACTCACAGAATAATCTGTAGATTCTAAACGTGATATGCTTTAAGGACTGGCTGTTTTTCCCCTCTCTTCCACCCTCTTAAAACTACTCTGGTAGGGCCACTTGCATCATGCAGTAGTCTCCAACTGTAAGAGTGTGTGTAGTGATCATTCAGTCAACAAAAGGATTCTTCATACCAAAAGTCCCAGAAGCAAACTGCGGTGCATTCCAGTATCTAGCACACATGCTCATAGTACCAGTCAGCCTAAAGTCTACATTTAGATTTTCTCTGTGTAGGGCATGAATATCCCTATTGAATTAAAATGAGCCATCTTCAAGACACTGCACTTCTGGCAGAGTTATCAAAGGACTCCACCAGCCCTTCCAGCCTCCAAGAGCCCTTCCTCATAGAACAGCTGCCCCGAGAGATGCAGTGCCAATTCATCCTGAAGCCTAGCCGCCTGGCTGAGACCCAGCAACTAAGTGGTGAGCTGCTTCTCCTCCTTCACAGAGCCCTTATTTTAGTAAAAGTTTCCATTTCTGAAAACAGAGTTAGTACAAAGGCAAAGACCCAGACTTGCAGCAAGAGAGGTATATTTTCACTTGAATTTCCTAAGTGTTTTGAAAGGAAAGATGGAGGTGTTAGAAGATAGCAGGTGTTACTGACTTGTAAATCAGTCACTAGTAGCAGTATAGTCTGTTCCTTCTTTCTTCGCTATTCTTTCTCCTTTAACCTTCTGCCCATGGCAGTCAGAGGCACCAGGCAGTGCTGCAGGTGCTTCAATGCCTTCTTGATAGTGTAATACATTGCACTATATGTTCTCTATATAGTCACATTTTTAAAAGAAGGCTGTTGGCGGTGGGTATCAGGAGACTGTGATGCCCTACCTGGATCCTGGTACTGATAAGTATATGAAGACTAAGATGATTTCCCCAGATATCTCTTCTTAGTCTACTAATTGAATCTGAATTCCATGTTAACATAGCCATCTCTTAGCCATCCCGTAATAAATGATAAAAGTAATATTCAACATAAAAGGGCCATCATTTACCCTAATGCAAGTTTGAGCTATAAGCCTTCATTCTGAAATAAAATTGTATAAGAAATAGAAGAAAAAGGATACCAACAAGTGAGAATGAGATACTAAAAAATTGATGCCGAATTTCTGTAGCTGCCTTTGTGAATTTGAACCTACTAGGGGACCCAGTGAATAGTGTCAACTCTTTTATACATGCACCCCTACACACGTGCATCCAACTTTATCCATTATTGAAATCATCATCATCTGGCCAACACCAGCTGTAAAAACTTACCTTATATTTACACTCGTTGTCTTCTCTCCTGCAATGGTTAATTTAGTTGTTGGACTCTAAGGCTGTGTACTCATCATATCTTTGGGCCACTTTGAAAGAGTATTATAGAGATGTCATAGTTTTTCATCTACTAAACTGTGAGCTCAATGAAGACAGAGATTTTAGTCTGTTTTGTTCACCACTGTGTAACCAGCACCTGGAACACTGCCTAATATATGTAAAGAACTCAATAAATATTTTTGAATAAATGAATTTATTAATAAGTCTGTTGTTACTGCTGATTAAAGGTACAAAGGGAACATTGCCGATCTGTAATGAGATTTTATGTAGTATATCATTGAAAATATTTTGTCACACAATTAGGTACTGCCAAATACTGATCTTTCTACAAGTATGTGATTTTAATTGAGCATATTTCTCTCCTCGAAGGCATTTGAGAATTTTTCGTTAGGTTCTTCTTTTGATATTTGCCTTTTAATATGTCATTTCATTGCAAATAAATCATTTCCATTGAAGATTAGGTAGAAGCTCCTCAATTGCACAATTAAATGGGTTTTTATATACGGAAATCTTTTTTGCACTTGCATTGGGATCAGTAAATTCTTCTGGAATTGTAGTTTGAATTCAGAAAACATACCTGCTACAATTTGTATGAGATTGGAGATCTTGCTTCTTGTTTTAACTTTGACAGCACAAGAAGCATACAGAGCTGCTTGGCATTACTTGTGATCAAATGTTAGTTGTTTTCAAAATAAAACTTTAAAAAACTTCTATGTAAGCCCTGTTTTCCTTTGCCTTTTAGGGTGAATTCATTAAGAAACTTCATAAATTGGCAGCAAAAACTAATTTCCAAAGCCATTCAGTATTCGGTAATAGTGGTGGAGGGCAATTCTTCATAAAACTTTCATTCTCAGCTCTGTGTTCAAATATCACTATAAAACCACCACTGCTGAGCTATTAGGCTTCTATTTCTAACAAAAATTCACAGAACTGGTAACAGTTAACTCCACAAGGATGAGTGAAGTTCATTGTTGATACTACTGATCCAGTAACACCTGGTAGATTCAAATAATTTCCACGCAGTACCACTGATGAATAATGCAATGAATAACTAACTGTAGGCATTAAACACTTTACCTTTTCACAAGCTTTGTGATTTTATGCTTTTATACAAATTGTACTTTTTTCTGCTTCACACACTTTTACCACCATCACATATAACACATTTTAGCAGATTCCACATCACATTGTACTGTTATTGTTTTGACAACACCTTGAAAATACTCTTACCTGTGGTTGTTCCACACAGACTACTGAAGGCTAATTCTTCGGTCACTTAAAACAAAGCATCGACTTCCAGAACAACCAACCAAACAATATTGGTAACATTTGTTGACTAATCAAGAACCAAAGAAAGTCACTAGAGATGATTTGCTTTGGTTTTTAATCTACTATTAGTCTTAATTCTAATGTCCTCAACTGTTCAGGCAGCTGTTCTCACCAAAAGGCTGACAGTCTTAAGTCTAGTATTTCTGTACAAATTTCTTCATGTATGCAAGCACACAAGATTTAATCAACTCAGCATTGGTGAATGACTTTCTTCAGATGGCTAACAAATGAGCCGCTCAGAAGCTTACATGTGTCTATGGCCATGCCACCATGAACAAGCCCGATCCCGTCTGATCTCTGAAGGTAAGCAGAGTCTGGCCTGGTTAGTACTTGGATGGGAGACCACCTAGAAAGACCAGGTGCTGTAGGCATAATAAATAAAAAATAAGGGATTGTAAACTGACAAGGTCCTTGCAATTTGTAAGGTCAACCAAGGGTTGCCTCACCTAAAAAAAAAAAAAAACATGTTTTTATAGCCTCGTTTTCATTTTTCATTTTTGCGAAGAAATTCTGCAGTGCTGAGATATTTTATTTTGAATATTCTAAATTTTCCTGATCATTGCTTTCCTTTGAGTTAGGAATATAGTGATGAGTGCTTAGTCTGGCAAGATGACATATATTATATTCTTTTATCACAGCTCTTATGTCATTTCACAATTAGCGAAAGTCTTTGCCATTTAATTCAATAACAATGGCATCCACACTTTACTGTGCCTTGAAAGCTCAACACTAGAAGTCCACTTTTATCTTCTTTTCTTATTTAGACACAATGCATAATGAAAATATTAAATGTTGCAGTATCATGTGTCATGTGGCACTCAAAGCACTGCAGTTGATCGCATGGAGCAGCAATGCACAGCAATGAGCACTGCTTGTCATCTCTATCAAATCTACTCAGTGCTACCATTGCATGTGAAGCAGAAGCAGCCACAGACAATACATAAACAAATGAAGGTGGTGGTGATATGATAAAGCTATTATGGACAGTAAAATTTGAATTTCTTGTAATTGTTATTTGTAACTAAATATTATTATTCTTTTGATTTTTTCCAACCTTTTGAAACTGGTAAAAACCTTTCTTAGCTCACATGCTATCCAAAGAAAGATAGCAGGCCAAATTTGGCCTACAAAGCATAGTTTGCTGCCCTCTGATTTACATGATAGAAATGCACATTTAATCAAAAACATTTAGCTAAGGTCTCAGTTTAATACCAAACTTTATACTATCACTTCACTCAAGTAACAGAACCATCTCATTTGACGTGTTACACGTCTGTAGTGTTACATCTCTTACATCTCTGTAGTGTTTTCATTAAAGATGGAAAAGCCAGATGGAACCTAGAAAGACTGAAGAACTGTAGAGTCTAGAGATTCTAAACATGAAGTTATTGGCTGCTGGTTGATGATGCTCTTCATAATGTTAACAAGTAATCTCTACACAGAATTTAAGTTTATAAAATATTTGCTTTTAAGCTTCATAACAACCATGTAAAGTAACATTAATTATTATCCCATCTTAAAAATGAGCACCTTCAGACTGTCCAGAATCACAAAGGATGTAATAGGACAGCTGAAATCTAAACTAGATCTTCTGTCCTAAAATCCCTGCTCTTGTCACTAGACCTCATTGCCATGACTGTGGCCATATTAGAACTAACTTACTTCATGAAATGGAGACTATTTACATAGTTACTGTTTGTCATACTGTCAACATCCCCACTGCTTCTGTTCCACTCTTGATTTTTTTTAATTTGAAGACAACATGCCACTGTGGAAGGTTGTTTTAGTACTCTCATAGCTTCATTGTGATAGACAAAATATGACCATATGTTTGAGTATCAAATTTTAATGTGCATTTATTTTTTTTTAATTTTATTGCGGTTACAATGGTTAATAAAATTATATAGGTTTGAAGTATACAATTGCATAATATGCCATCAGTATGGTGCACCAATGTGCTTTTAAAGTCCACACTTCTGTCACCTTCTTTCCCATCCTCTGTGGCCCATTTCTTAAAATAAGCCACAATTAGAATAAAGACTTAACTTTAAATCTCCATATCTGAGGGAGGCTTTCTCTATTTAGCATAAGGAAAATATCTCAGTTATCCAAAATAACCTAAAGTGAACATAGTCATCCCCAATCTGTTTTTTTAATTTCTGCCTCAGTGTGGGGAAGATCTACTAAATACTGTAGTAGTAGCACACTGAAAACAGAGTAGCAGTAAGTGTCATGGAAGGTTACCTCTGTGGCTTACATCACAGTCACTCGGCCTTGGGGTGGCTAGTCCCTACTGAGACAGCTCTAGTGTTAATTGATTGTTCAGGATATAGACACTAAAGATCTGAACTCAAGACTCAACTCAAATATCACTTCTGGATTTGTGTTCCTTCAGCCAAAAAGCTGCCCCCTTCACTGTGTCTCTAGAGCACTTTATACATGTCTCTAGTGTGACAGCTAAAAATTACATTATAATGATTTATTTACATGTTTCATTGTACTGTGGGCTTCAGGCCTGGGAACTCATAGCAGGGCTAAGTCCAGTGTACAGAACAGAGAAGTTGAATGAAGATTGAGTGGCTTAGTCACACCTCATATGGAAAAACTTGAGTGGAGCAAAAGAGTCCTGGGGTTGAAGTGGGAACTTTCTGGGAATGGTCTGAAGTAGCACCTCAGCTTCTAGCCTGACTGAGCTTCTAGTTCTGCACCCACAGCAGGGCAACCTTCCACATCTGCTTCAGACCCAGGGCTGACAAGGCTGACTTTTTATAGAGATATTAAAATATGGGACATAACTTTTTCCTCTACTTGTTTACTCCACCATTCTAGTATTTTCTCTATGTATATCCTACTCTAGGGTGGTGGAAGGGCAGGTGGGTATTCTTAATTTGGGAATTTATATGGCTAGATAGAATTTCTAGTTAAGGATTTGTTGTTCTGATTATTATTCTACAAGCACACACTTATAAAATTATAATTTTTAATGTTCAGTTCCCTAACTTAAGCATGAAGAAATGCTAGCTGAATTTTGCTTGGATTATTTAGGAAAGTTAAATTCACATGAATTTAGTTTGTTCTACATTTACATCGCCCTTATATTTTAATAGCAATAGCATGATTTTCATCATGTTTTGACATTTAGAAAGCAAGAGCTATGCATTTAAAGCTCTTCAAGAAAGTACACTTTAATGAAATTTCTTTCTCAGTCCCACAGGAAACATGAACTCTAAAATTGAATGTTGTACATAACAAAAGGCATGGCTGCAGCTGAAAGTATTTATAATATAGCACAGGACTCAATTTCTACTTTATCATCTGCCTACACTCATAGGATAGCTGGGCAAATAACTTTATAAGAAAGTATTCTTCCTAAGGAGTGTGTGAAGCTAAAAAATAAAATAAATCTAATAGTTTTAGAAATAATGAAATCAGGCTAACTGTGAGGAAATTAGACTGAGTACAAGTGTTCAACATAGATAAACATACAGATGAGGAAAACATTTGCACAGACAAACATTCCTAGGCACACTGGAGCCTCCTCTTGGACTTAGGAATGGTTTAGTTTCCTTTTCTGTTTTTTCAGAAGGATGTAGCTTGGGAACGTCAGGTCAGGAAGACAGTGCTCTGGTCCAACAGAGTCTGGTATTCCTTCTGGTCTGCAGACTAACGGAAGGCTGTTACACCCAATAGAGAGGGATGTAGGGAGGAGTTTGGTATCTTAGCAAATTCAATCAAGATCACTGTGACTCATGCCCTGGGCGAAAAAGTACTTTTCATGCATTACCCTACTTAATCTTCTCAATAAGGCTTTGAGAGGTAGGTAATACCATTCCCATTTCAAAGTTGAGTAAAGAGGTTAAGTGATTTCCCCAAATAAGTGTCTGAGCCAGGAGTCTAACTGGGCTCCGATTCCAGAGCAAAAGACTTTCACACCTGGGTGTGTGTTCATGGACGATGCACTTACTGTATCCTTAGGAAGCCAAGGGTAGATGATGGCTCTGAGGCCATTCAGGAAAATGATACTTATTTTTACTTATTTTTAATAAACAAGTATTATTTTTTAAATGATACTTGTTTATACTCCCACATCTTGGCTCCCAGGAGTATTTGGCTTAATTTGGTTATTCTGAGGAGGTAAAATGCTAATGTCCATTATCGACAAACAGTATAAAACATTTATTTGAAATTAGCATTTGACCCTCTTGACCATATCCTCCCTAAAAAGACCATCTCCTTCACATTCCATTGTCAAGGAATTTTGAGTAGCTAAGCATCATCTCCAAAAGCTTAGTTGGATGTCAGAGCCCCACAGCCAGAGTTTAATGACTAATTCTCAGGCACTTGCCCTGAAGACAATGGAATCAATCCCTGTGTGGGTGCCACCTGACAGCTTAAGGCTCCTCAGATCTCAGTTCTGTTGGCCTTAACTGCTAGCTGTTTTGCCTCTACCCCAGGTATGTGT